CTCTACCACTTGAGCCACAGCACCACTTCCAGCTTTTTTCTTTTTGCTTATGTGGTGCTGAGGAATCGAACCCAGGGCCTCAGGTATGCATACCACTTGAGCCACCTTCCCAGCCCTTGAGCGCTGTGGCTCAAGTGGTAGGGCACTAGCCCTGACCTGAAGAGCAGAGGGACAACACCCAGGCTCAGAGTTTAGGTTCCAGATCGACAAACACACACACACACACACAAATAAATAAGGCAGGTATCTGGACATAGCCATTCTTGTGGATTCACAATATAAAGGCATTATTGGAGAGAGGTAAAAGTAGAGGGTAGGCCTCTGGAAGGAGTAGGTCATCTGGGCTCTCTTCTAATATTCCTTCTTGTCTGCTATCATGATGGACTGACCCCTCTGAAACCATGAGCCTAGGAAAAGCTTTCCTTCCTTAAAAAACAAAACAGGCTAAAGCCAGGCATTGGTGGCTCATACCTATAATCCTAGTTGCTTAAGAAGTTGAGACCTGGAGGATCTTAGTTCAAGCCAGCCTAGACAGAAGAGTTCATATGACTAATAATTAACTTTTAAAATAATTAACCATTAAATTAACTATTAAAATGCCAGACTGAAGTAGAACAAGATAGTCCAGCAAGAGAGTCAGGGCCTTGAGTTCAAGCCCTGGTATCCTCCTCAACAATCCACAGTAGTAATGGCTGATCCAACTTTCGTTTTAGAATATTATATTTATAATCCCATTAATGGCATTTTGTTTGTCTAAGAATAGTGTTCTGACCTATCAAGATGACTTTAAGTTGTAATCTTATTATCTGGCTCATGTAAGGATACCTTTTAGTGTTGTAATGCACAAATTATTGAGGGCTCTGAAGCTGGACTTGACTCTTAATTCTGGTACTACTAAGTGCTAACAATATGACATTGGGCAAGCTAGCTTCAACTCTGTGTGTTTCAGTTCCCTTACCTCTAAAAATAGGGAATAAAAATTATATCTAGGGATGGGAAGGTAGCTCAGTGGTAGAGTGCTTGCCTTGCATGCATGAGGTTCTGGGTTCGATTCCTCAGCACCACATAAGCAGAAAAAGCTGGAAGTGGCACTGTGGCTCAAGTGAGTGGTAGAGCACTATCCTTGAGCTGAAGAGCTAAGGGACAACGCCCAGGCCCAGAGTTCAGGCCCCATGACCAGAAAAAAAAAATTATGTCTATCTCACAGTACAATGGATAAATGCATACAAGAAGCCCAGTATGGCTGGGCGCTGTTGGCTTACGCCTGTAATCCTAGCTACTCAGGAGGCTGAGATCTGAGGATTGTGGTTCAAAGCCAGCCCAAGCAGGAAAGTCCATGATACTCTTTATCTCCAGTGAAGCACCAGAAAACCAAAAGTAGGTTGTGGCTCAAGTGGTACAGTACTCACCTTGAGCTGAAGAGCTCAGGTACAGTGCCTATCCCCAGAGTTCAAGTCCCATGACACCCCCCTCCAAAAAAACAAAAAAACCCAGTATGGTGTTTGACAGATTGTGACTGCATAATAAACTTTTATTATTATTAAGCTGAATTATTTTTTACAAAAATTTAGAGCAAAGATCATTTTGATAACTTTTTAAATTCAGAGATAGTACCAATCAAAATGCTATAGACTATCAACTCAATCATATTTTTACTTAATAAGTATATATTTAGGGGCTGGGAAGGTGGCTGAGTGGTAGAGTACTTGCCTTGAATGCCTGAGGCCCTGGGTTTGATTCCTCAGCACCACATAAGTAAAAACCCGGAAGTCGCGCTGTAGCTCAAGTGGTAGAGCACTAGCCTTGAGCTGAAGAGCTGAGGGACAGTGCCCAGGCCCAGAGTTCAGGCCCCACGACTGGACCCCCCCCCCCAAAAAAAAAGTATACATTTAAAGTCCAATATAAAACCTTTTCTTTTTGGCCCATCCTGATGCTTGAACTCTGGGCCTGAGCACTGGCCCTGAGCTCCTTTTGCTCAAAATCAACACCTCTATGTCTTGAGCCACAATGCTACTTCACTTTTTCTGTGAAGCCAGCCCAGGCTGGCTTCCAACTGTGATTCTCAGATCTCAGCCTCTTGGGCAGCTAGGATTAAAGGCATCAACTACCAACACCCAGCTTAAATATTCTAAATTACCAATATTTAGTTATATCTAGAAAGTATAATCTTTAAACTTAGCCTTTTAACACTTTTCAATGTGAAGGAAAAGAAATCAGGTTGGACTGGCTAGAAAACATATCTTTTTATTCTTTTTTTTTTTTGGTTGGTCTTAGGACTTGAACTCAGAGTCTGGGAACTAGCCTTGAACTCTTTTTGCTCAGGACTAGGGTTCTACACTTTGAACCACAGCACCACTTCCTGTTTTCTGGTGGTTAATTGGAGATAAGTCTCAAGGACTTTCCTGCCTTCAGATCTCAGCCTCCTGAGTAGTTAGGATTACAGGTACCCAGCTGAAACGTATGTTTTATCTCTAAGAAGGTAATTTCAGGGCTGGGAAGGTGGCTCAGTGGTAGAATGCTTGCTTTGCATGCATGAGGCCCTGGGTTTGATTCTTCAGCACCATATAAGCAGAAAAAGCCGGAAGTGGCGCTGTGGCTCAAGTGGTAGAGTGCTAGCCTTGAGCTGAAGAGCTGAGGGACAGTGCCCAGGCCCAGAGTTCAGGCCCACAACCGAAAACAAAACAATAAAACAACCCAGAAGGTAATTTCAATTGCTCTAGAAATTCTTGTCAAAATGTTGGCAGAATAATAAACACATTCCTTTGCTTATTCTTGTGTATTGCCTCAAGTATGAAAGAACAATAAAAATGAAATGTTAAAGTTATAATCAAAGAACAATGGAAAAAAGCATTTAGATACTTTTTCTTTTATTAATAAGGAAAATAAGGAGATATTAATAAACAAGCCTAATAACAAATGCCTACAGTACCTGTCATTCACAATCATAAGAGTAATCAGAAGCTGGATCCCTAACTGGCCACTTTTCTTGTTTTTTTGCAGGGGGGGGGGTGACCTGTGGTGAGGTGTAGACTCAGGGCTTCCCACTCACTAGACAGCCGCTCCAACACTGGAGCCAGACCTCCAACTTTTTGCTTATTATTTTTAGAACAGGATCTCACATTTATGCTTGGACTGGCATGATCTGTGTGTAATTAGGATGACAGGCATGTGCTACAACATGCAGCTTGTATTGACTGAGCTGGGTTCTCATGAATGTTTTTTGCCCAAGCAGAACTCCAATAGCAGTCCTCCTGATCTCCACTTCCCAAGTAGGTCAGATTACAGCTATGAACCACTGCACCTGGCTATGTCTCTTTCTTAAAACCCTTTCATGAACTGTCTTAACAGTCAAGTAGCAAAGGACATGATTATTTTGGAAATTATCACATGATACTAAGTCAGAAACCTTAGTGAAGTCCAGCAACCTTATATAAATTTAACAAACTTCCTCTTTCTTATCCATATGGCTTGTCATCCTATCAAAGTTGAAAATAAAATTGGTCTACCAAGATTTGTTCTTTATAAAATTACGCATAATGTTCCCCAATACCTTCTGTTCTTTTAGGTAACTGCCAAATAATTTACTTGATTTGTTCTGGTTTCTGATCAAACATAATTCAAAAATTAAGTTGACCTTATCATTTCTAAAGTTAATCTTTTTCCCCTTAAAAATATTCTTTTGCCGAGCACCAATGGCTCACATCTGTAATCCTAGCCACTCAGGAGGCTGAGATCTGAGGATCACGGTTCAAAGCCAGACTGGGCAGGAAAATCCATGAGACTCTTATCTCCAATGAACCACCAGAAAACTGGAAGTGGTACCTGTGGCTCAAGTGGTATAGTGCTTGCATTAAGCTGAGGAGCTCAGGGACAGCACCCAGACCCAGAGTTCAAGCCCCATTATGACTTAAAAAAAAAAATATATATGTATATGTGTGTGTGTGTGTGTGTGTGTGTGTGTGTGTGTGTGTATGTGTGTGTGTGTGTATATCCTTTGTCTATAACCAATACTTCTTTTTTTTTTTTGAGGGGGGTCCGGTTGTGGGGCCTGAACTCTGGGCCTGGGCACTGTCCCTCAGCTCTTCAGCTCAAGGCTAGCGCTCTACCACTTGAGCCACAGCGCCACTTCTGGCTTTTTTCTTTTTTTGCTTATGTGGTGCTGAGGAATCGAACCCAGGGCCCCAAGGCAAGCGCTCTACCACTGAGCCACCTTCCCAGCCCCTATAACCAATACTTCTATACACTATGATTTCTCAAAAATAAAGGCCGATAACTTGGCATTGGGTTCTTTCCCCTCACATTTCCATAGAGAAAATCTAAATGAACTAGAAGCACTAATCACATGGCCACAGCAGTTAGGAATTAGGATGTCCTGTCAACTGGGTAGCATTTTTTTAAAGAAAAATAAAAATGTTAGGAGGTACCA